GGGCGAGCCGCGTCCCCGCTCCGCCGGCCCCGCTCCGCCGCCCGCCGCGTCCGCCCCGTCGCGCCCCGCCATGGCCGCCCGCTACCTCCGAGCCGTCCCGGCGCTGAGCCGCGCCGCCGGGCTGCCCCGCTGCCCCCCCGCCGCCGCCGCCGCCGCCGTGCTGGGACCCTCGGGGCCGCGGCGACACTGTGAGTGCGCGTGACCTTGGCCCGGGGGGCGCGCGGCGGGGGCGCGCCGGTGTCCTTGGGGCGGAGAGGGCGGGCGGGCGGGGCGGGGGGGGGCACGGCGCGGCCCGGCTCGGCTCGGTTGGGGGGGCACGGCTCGGGGGGCACGGCGCGGTTTGGCACGGCTGGGCTGGGCTGCGGGGACGCGGCGCGGTTTGGCACGGCTCGGGGCGCGCTGGCTCGGCACGGCTCGGCCACGGCGCCGTGCGCAACCGGCCCCACCCCCAGCACGGTCCGACCCGCGCCCCTGCGGCCCCGATTTTAGGGGGGGGAATCGTGCCCGGGACTGCGGGCGGCCCCGGGGGGCTGCACGGGGCCAGGCCCGGTCCCACGCGGGGTTCTGCACCCCACTCGCACCCGGGTCCGGCCGCAGTCCCATGTGAAGTTTTGCACCCCCAGCTGCACCCGGGTCCTGCCCTGAGTGGGGTTTGCACCCAGGTCCTGTCCAGCCCCGGTCCCACGCGGGGTTTTGCAGCCCAGCACCCCGACCTGCACCCTGGTGGGGTTTGTGCCCCCACCTGTGGCCCCCCCCGTGGAGGCTTGCCCTGAGGCCGGTCCTGGTCCCAGACAAAGTTTTGCACCCGAATTTGCACCCGGGTCCAGCCCCAGGAGGGGTTTGCAGCCAGGCTGTGTGGGTCCCACGGGGGGGCTCTGTGCCCCGACCTGCCCCCGGGGCCGGGTGTGCGCCCCTGAGCCGTGCCCCCCCCTTGCCCAGATGCCGACAAGCGGATCAAGGTGGCCAACCCGGTGGTGGAGATGGACGGAGACGAGATGACGCGCATCATCTGGGCCTTCATCAAGGAGAAGGTAGCGGGGGCCTGGCGGGGGGGGCGCGGGGCCGGGCCCCTCCCTGCCATACGGGAAATGGGCGGGCGCTGCACGCGCGGGGCTGGCGGGTGCCGTGCAGGGAACAGGTGGTCCCTGCCCTCTGCCCTCCGTCTGTCTGTCTGCCTGCCCGTGTGTCTGTCTGTCTGCAGGAAGCAGCTGGTGCAACCCGTGTGCCTTCCGCTGGAAGGAGGGCCCCGGGGAGGGGGGTGAATCGGGTGGGGGGCTGGGGCTGGCCATACCACGGTGCCTGGTGCTGCTCCCAGGCTCTGACGTGCTCCTGCCCCCCCAGCTGATCCTGCCCAACGTGGACGTCCAGCTGAAGTATTTCGACCTGGGCCTGCCGCACCGGGACAAGACAGATGACCAGGTCACCATCGACTCGGCGCTGGCCACCCAGAAGTACAGCGTGGCCGTCAAGTGTGCCACCATCACTCCGGACGAGGCCAGGGTGGAAGGTGGGCAGGGGGCAAGGGGATGGGGCTGAGCCCCTGCTGCAGGGGGTGGGCTGGCGGTGGGGGCTGGCAGAACCCATGGCACTGGGGGCTGGGGGGGCTGTGTGCTGTGCCGGGCTGTGCCTGGTGTCCCACACCTCGCCTCTCTGCGTGCCAGAGTTCAAGCTGAAGAAGATGTGGAAGAGCCCCAACGGGACCATCCGGAACATCCTGGGCGGGACGGTGTTCCGGGAGCCCATCATCTGCAAGAACATCCCCCGCCTGGTGCCCGGCTGGACCAAGCCCATCACCATCGGCAGGCATGCCCACGGTGACCAGGTGAGCCCATGGGGTGGCCGGCACAGCACCCAGGGGTGCCCGCAGCCCCCCCCGGCCCTGCAGTGACACCCCGTGCCGCCCCTGCAGTACAAAGCCACCGACTTCGTGGTGAACAAGTCCGGGACGTTCAAGATGGTCTTCACGCCAAAGGACGGCAGCGGGGTGAAGGAGTGGGAGGTGTACAACTTCCCCGGCGGCGGCGTGGGCATGGGCATGTACAACACAGACGAGGTACTGGCGGGGGGCGTTGGGGTCCCGTGGGCTGGCACAGCCCTGCTGTGGGCTTGTGGCCAGGCCGGCAGGGTGGGGGTCCCGCAGCGCTGCGGGGCAGCCGAGGAGCCCGGGTCCCTGCTGACCGCAGCGTCTGCACCCGTTCGTTGCAGTCCATCTCGGGCTTCGCTCACAGCTGCTTCCAGTACGCCATCCAGAAGAAGTGGCCTCTCTACATGAGCACCAAGAACACCATCCTCAAAGCCTACGACGGGCGCTTCAAAGACATCTTCCAGGAGATCTTCGATAAGTACGGAGCTGGCCGGGCTGCTGGGGCTGCTCTGCATGGAGCTGGGGGGGGGGGGCAGCCGCCTGCCCCTGCTGGGGGGGCTCTGGGGCCTGGGGAGGGGGTCCCACACCCTGTGACACTCACGCCTGCTGACAGCCGCTCTGGCTCCCAGGCACTACAAGACGGAGTTCGACAAGCTGAAGATCTGGTACGAGCACCGGCTGATCGATGACATGGTGGCCCAGGTGCTAAAGTCCTCCGGAGGCTTTGTCTGGGCGTGCAAGAACTACGACGGGGACGTCCAGTCGGATATCCTGGCCCAAGGTAGTGCCGGGGCTGCTGGGGGGGGGGCAGCGGGAGGGGGTGGCCGAGGGGGTGCCGCCACCCGCCTGGGGCCACCCTGACCCCGTCCCACCGCAGGGTTCGGCTCCCTGGGGCTGATGACCTCCGTCCTGGTGTGTCCGGACGGGAAGACCATCGAGGCAGAGGCTGCCCACGGCACCGTCACGCGCCACTACCGGGAGCACCAGAAGGTGGGTGTGCGGCCCCCGCAGCCCCGGGGCGAGCTGTCCCGGCCCAGCCGCTGACGGGGGCTCTCTGCTTTTAGGGCCGACCCACCAGCACCAACCCCATCGCCAGCATCTTCGCCTGGACGCGTGGGCTGGAGCACAGGGGCAAGCTGGACAGTAACCCAGAGCTGATCAAGTGAGCGGGGTGGGGTGGGGTGGGGTGGTTTGGGGGTGCCCCCAGGGTGGCCCTGTCCCACCCGAGCCCTGCTGGTGCCTGGCACTGCGGGACACGGGGCCCCACGCTGTGGCTGCCGGTGACCCTGCTGCCCCCCAGGTTTGCTCAGACGCTGGAGAAGGTCTGCGTTGAGACCGTGGAGAGTGGGACGATGACGAAGGATCTGGCAGGCTGCATTCACGGGCTTGCCAAGTAAGTGTGGCTTACGGGGCGGAGGGGTGTACAGGGAACGTGTGCCACGAAGGCAAGCTCGCCCTCTGGGGCGGCCACAGGACGGGCACTGGGGGCTGGCCGGCCTCTGGGGACACTGGGCATCTATTTACGGCTCGCCCTGGTCGGGCGGTGGCTGTGGCTGGGCAGGGAGCCACGTCCCGCTGCGGGGGCTCCTCTCCCCGCGGGCGGCCAGCTGGCGCTGCGTGGGCAGGGACGGGCAGGGTGCTCGCCCCCCGGGACCCCTCTAACCCTTCCCCGCACCCTTCTCTCCCAGCGTGAAGCTGAACGAGCACTTTGTGAACACCACCGACTTCCTGGATGCCATCAAGAACAACTTGGACAAGGCCCTGGGCAAGAAGTAGAGGAGGCTCCCCCTGGGCGGGGGTCCGCGTGTGCTGCCCAGCCTTTACCTCATTTTTAACAGGATAGCGAGCCAGCGCCGCCTCTAGCTCACTGACACGGCTCAGGAACATTTCAATCATTTTTATAAGCAGTTTTCCTACGAGTGTTTTTAAAGCCTTTCTAGCAGGGGTTTGTAGGAAGGGGGTGGGGGGGGGGGCTGCCCTTCACCGTACTGTACTTTCTGTAACCTCTGACCTCATGGTGCCAAACAGCTATTAAACACGTCACCGAGGCGCGCGTGGTGGTGGCACGGCTCGCGGGGGGGCACGGGCACGCGGGGGGCTCGCTGCCCGGCCACGTCCTCCCTGCCCGGGCGCAGGAGGCAGCCAGCAGCTAAAGAATATTCATTTATTTAGAATTATTGCTAAACAACTCTTCAAACCAAAGAGATCAACAAAAATAAACACAGTAGGGCTTTGCACAAGGGGCAGGTGAAGCACTCTGCGGGCACAAGGTGGGCGCACCGGGGGGGTGCAGGGTGGCACCAGCCCCCGTGCGGCACGGCTGGGGGTGCTCCTGGGGGTGCTCCTGGGGGTGCTCCTCGCACCACTCCCGCTGGCACCAGCGCTTTTTGGTAACGGGACAGAGGTAGCTTGTGGGGGATGCGCCGCGCTGTCCGGGAGCAAGGGGCGGGCGTGGGGAGGGGGCTGCGCCGTGGGGGGCTCCGGGCTGGGGGGAGGCCGCTGCCGCCTCCACCCTGTGCCACATCTCGAGGGGCTGCAGCCGGGGGGTGAGGCTGGGGCTGGGGCTGGGTGGTGGCACCAGGCTCCTGGAGGCAGGCAGATGGCAGCGCCTCTGCGCTGGTGCTGCAGGAGGAACCCCCCCAGGCCACAGGGAAAGCTGCTGGCCCCCCGCACGTGCCCTGCTCCGGGAAGTGTGGCTGTGGGGAGGCTGCGATCGCTGCGTGCCCCAGGGCTGCTGCAGCCTCCCTGGGCTGGCTGGAGCCGTGCCCCGCACTGGGAGCGAGCTGTTCCCTGCCTGCTCCCTCCCCGGGCAGCAGGGTCCCCGTCCCCGTCCCCACTGGTGCCACTTCTGCCTCCGTCACTCCTTGGGCTCGGTTCTCCCCCACAGCACCTGGGAGCCCGTCAGGCAAACCAGCATCCCGGGGCTGTGTTCCCAGAGCAAAAACCTTCCTGAGCCCCGGTCTGGAGAAGCTCACAGGGGCGAGGAGCGCCAGCAGTGCGTACAGCAGCTTTGGTGCATTAGTGCAGGCGGGCACGGCGGCTCCCGCGGGCAGCAAGAGCCCCCTGGGTGCTCTGCCCGCCCCGCGCCCCTCCGCCGCCTGCGCTGCACGCAGCTTCACAGATCACACACGTTACACAGGTTTACAAAGAACATTGGTTGAAGGAAACTGAACTCAGTGAAAAGATAAATCCAACCACGCGGCACATCTGAAAAAAATAAATTACTTTCAAAATACCATCATTTGCTCAAGTTGAACAGGGTTTGCCTTCCTTTAAATACATCGCTCGCTAAAGCTGCTCTATACTCAGAGCTGCTGCTTCCACTGAGCTTTGCAATTAGTTTGTAAGAAAATATTCTGTTTTGTATGTGCCCTGTGGCCTCTCTTGGCTTGCCACAGCTTTGCCCGTACCAGCTCGCAGCTGATGCCAGAACGGCTCTCCCTGCCGAGGAGCCGGGGCTGAGCGGGCGCTGCGGCACAGCCGCCTTCCCCCGGGCTTCCTGCAGGCAGAGGGGCTCCTGCGCTGCTGGGCGCGTGGGGGGTGCTGGGCTGGCGGTGCAGCCGAGCAGGGAGGACCCAGGAGGTAGAATCACAAATAATGCTCGTCGTCTTCTGGGATGTGCCCTCCCCTGCCCGCAGCTCGGAGTGCGCTGGGTGCTGGGCTCCAGGCAAGGGGAAGATTGGGGCAGGGTCCTGGCTTCCCACCCCGCAGCGGGGCGGGTGGGAGGGCAGGAGGATGGGCAGGAGGACGGGCAGGACGGCGCTGGGCAGGGGAGCTGTGTGCAGCTTGGGAGCTCCTTCTCCAGGGCAGCTGGGGGGAGACGGGGCCCCGAGTAGGAACAGCCCCTGTTGGTGGCAAGAGCTTGCCCAGGCTTCTGCAGCTCTCAAAGTGCACAGGAGCCTCGTCGGCTTGGCACGCCTGGCTCCAAGTGCCTGAGGCAAGCAGCGACCACTGCCCTGCAGCACCTCCAGCCTCCACCCAGCACAGCCTGCAGGACATCCCCGTCTCTGCCCGGCTGCAGCCTGCCCCTCTCCAGCGGGTCTGCTTGGGCGCCGAGCCCCCGGGCAGCAGCAGCTCCTCTTACCACTCAAGGTCCACGCAGGCTGGTGGCCGCCCTCCTCCAGCCTGCTGCGGGCCGGCCGCCCCCCCGCTTGGCTACAACATGTTGTAGTACGCCATCTCCTTCATGGCCTGCTCCGCCAGTGCGCTCTCGTCCGGGGGGTTGCCGACCCCTCCGTAGCCGTAAGAGTTCTCCTCCTCGAAGTCTTCCATCTCCTGCTGGCCGTCCAGCTCGGCGTGCTCAGCCCCGGCCAGGTCCATCATGGGGTCTAGGGGACAGCGCATGGTGTCAGCCCTGCCCCACAGTGCTGGTGCTCCACGCATGGCCCTGCGGCACCCTCCCCACCACAGCACCCACCGGGTGCTCCCCAGAGGTGCCGCAGCACAGCCTGGCTCCCGCAGCACGCCGAGGGACACCGCAGCACCCAGCCTGCGGTGGGCAGGGCCAGCGACTGGCCACAGCCTCCGACCCCACCTGCACCTACCTTGGCTGTCCAGGCTGATGTCCATCACCCCGTGCTTGACCTTCATGTGCCGGCTCAGGTTGCCCTTCAGGTTGAACTTGCTGGAGCAGTAGGGACACTTGAAGGGCTTGCTGCCAGCGTGCAGGTGCATGTGGCCCAGCAGGTTGTACATGCGGTTAAAGGACTTCCCACAAACCTACAACAATGTTCCTGGGGTTAGCGAGGGCTCTCCTGCTGCCCCCCGCCCCCCAGCAAGGGCTGAGCAGCAGGCATTGCCCCTGCCGGGCAGCACTGCCTCGGGGACGTGGGCTCTGCAGACCTGACCTTGCTCCTGGGTCCCCGACTGACTCCACGGATGCCCAAGACTAATGGGGCTGCCCCCCTCCCTCCCCCTGCCTTTCATGGGATGCCTCGAGGACGATCTGCTGGTATTTCTGTGAAGCCCACGCTCGTGAAACCCCGCATGTGTAGCACTGCCTAGAGGCACAGCTCGGGCAGAGGCAGCACAGGACGAGCTGTTTGCCCGTGTGAACAGAGGGAGGCATCACAAAACTGCGATCGTTTGGCTGCGGGCTCAGCCCAGCCCCGGCTGGCACCTCTCCAGGAGCGGGGAGCAGCGCCAGGACGGCCCCCCCGCCGTACCTTGCATTTGAACGGCTTCACCGGTGAGTGCACAATCATGTGGGTCTTGAGCGTCTGCTTCTGCACAAACGTCTTGAAGCAGATGTGGCACTGGTACGGACGGACGCTGGTGTGGATGAGCATGTGGCGCTTCATGTTGGCCTGCAGGGTGAACTCCCGGCCGCACACCTCGCACTTGAACTCCTTCACGCCCTGGAGGGGTTGCAGCACGGGGTGAGCGCGGGCAGGGCTCTGCTGCGGCAGCTCCGGCTGCGCCCTGCCGGCCGGGGCACACGGGGGGATCCCGAGCAGAGCCTCCTGAGGCACAGGGATGGGAGCTGAGCTTCAGTGACTGCCGGCTGGAGCCAGCCGCGATGGGAGGTTTTCCCTAACCAGCCCTCCTGCACCTTCCCAAAGCATTTCCTGACTCTTTCTCCCTGCCTGTGCTGTGAGCAGCGCTGGTGCTGCCGAGAGCCTGGGGTCGTCCCCTCCCGCTGCCTGGGACCCCAACTCTGCCACGCAGCAGGCAGCCTGCTCCCCCCTCCTCGCCCCACACATCACCTCTCGGTCCCCCTGGGGAAGTGTTCCCAGCAGTTGGAAAACCCGGCACTGTGTGCTGCTGGGGCGACACCGAGAGCAGCTGGGCCAAGGGGCAGGAAGGAGCCACCAGGAGAGCACAGCCCCGCTGCAGCCCACGCTGCGGTGCGGCACCTCGGTGAGCCCTGCCCGAGCCCCCAGCAGGCGGGAGGTGGGCTGTGGGGGGAGCTGGGCACAAGGAGACCTGGCTGCCCGGCTCTGCCCTCTGGCTGGCTGGGCAATCGCTCCCCCGTGAAAGAGCCCCTGAGAAACAGCAGAGCCCTCAGTCAGACCCACTGCAGGCTCAGCGCACTGGCCAGCACCCAGCACAGCCCCCTGCTGCAGGTTTGAAAGCCCCCTTCCCGGGGGAGGGAAACCCCCAGGCCATCCCCCGACACCCTGCCTGCACAATGACTGCAATTTCTCTCCTATTTAAGGAGCTGTAGTGAATGCTACCCAGCCCACCAGCACCCATCCCTGGGGCCAACGCCTCTCCCCGGGGCACAGCAAAAGCAGCAGCCCTGGGGCGCTGGATGCGCCGCACGCCCGGCCCCGGCACCTACCTTGTGTGTGAGCGAGTGCTGCTTGAGGTGGTGGATCTGGCTGAACTCCATGCCGCACTCGGTGCAGACGAAGGGCCGGACGTTCTGGTGCTTCAGCATGTGGTTCTGCAGCTGGCTGCGGTAGTGGAAGGACTTGCTGCACTCCAGGCACTGGTAGAGCGTGGGGCCCTGGTGCGTGGCGAGGTGCCGCTTCAGCTGGGTGAGCGTGGAGAAGTCCAGCCCGCACTCCACGCAGACGTGGCAGCGGCCGCTCTCGTGCTTCACCTCGTGCGCCTTCAGCTCGCTGGGGTAGGCGAAGCCCCTGCCGCAGAAGCGGCAGCTGTAGGGCTTGATGTCGGTGTGCAGCAGCATGTGCCGCTTCAGGTGGCTGGTCTGCGTGAACGCCTTGCTGCACACCTCGCACTTGTGCGGCCGCGTGCCCTGGTGGGTCAGCAGGTGGGTCTGCAGGTGGCTGGGCTGCTTGAACAGCTTGTTGCAGTGCGGGCAGGAGTGCGGCTTGATGCCGTTGTGGCCCAGGATGTGGGTCACCAGGTTGTACTTGGAGGTGTAGGACTTCTCGCACATGCGGCACTGCCAGCGCTTCTGGCGGTCCCCCGCCTCCACCAGGTAGGAGTCGTCGATCTGCACGTTGATGTCCAGCCGGTCCAGCTGCGCCTTCTTGTTGCGCTCGCTGTTGGCGCCCGCCGCGTCCCCCTCGAGCTCCCCGGGCTCCTGCCACGAGAAGCCCTGCTCGCTCTTCACCTGCTCGGGGGACGCAGGTGCCTCGGCCTCGCCGGGGGACGGGGCGCTCCCCTCGAAGGCGCACTCGGTCTGCGGGGTGCCGGCGGTGCTGCCCTCCGCCGTGCCCGCGGGGTCAGGCTCGCCGTGGTGCGGCTCGTAGCTCTCCGAGGACTGGCGCGTGTGCCGGCGCAGGTGCCGCAGGCGGCGGGGCTTCCTGCTGAAGGAGCTGAGGTCGATCATCTTCACGGCGCTGCTCTGCACCGTCTTCTCCTGGCTGGGGTCCGGGAAGGCGGGCGGGAGCTTGTGCTGCAGCTCGCCCTTGTCTTCCCCGGGGACGGACACTTCGTACACCACCTCCTCCTCCACCTCGGCCTTCTCGCGCTTGACCTTGGGCACCAGCCTCACAGGAGGCCGCTTCCTCCTCCGGGCATGCTTCTCCAAGGAGGACTCAGCCTCCAGGGCTTCCTCCTCCTGCCCGTCCCCTGCTGCCTGCCCATCGCCCTCCGGCTCCTCGGGCTCCACTCCCGCCGCCTCAGGCAGTTCTCCTCCCAGCCCCGGGAAGAAGCCGGCGGGGCTGACGGTGGCCCCGAGCAGCTCATTGTCGGACACCAAGCCCAGCACCGCCGCCTGTGCCAGGGAGAGCACCACCACGGCGTCCGTCTGGGTCCCACACTCGGTGAAACGATCCATGTCTCACCGCTGCCTATGCTGTCATGGCTGGGGAAGGAGAGGGACGGACGTTAGTTAGCCTTCCTCGGGGCTGCCTTCCTCGGGGCTCCCTCCCACCCTGCGCAGCCTGACAGCCAGGCTGCTCTGCTAAAGGCTCGTTTCAGCATTGGACAGACCTGTTTGCGGATCACCATCCCCAACACCCCCCCCAGACTGAACACGGACATTTCCAGAGCTGGTCCCGGGCTCTGTGCGCCCTGGGACGCGTGGGGCTGCGCAGCTCCAGGGGTCCCACGTGTGACACCTGCAGCAGGGGCCGGGGACCAGGCTGCAGCAGGGAAGCACAGCCCAGGACCCGCCGTTGGCCCTGCTGGCTAGGTTACAGACCCTGTGGTTTGAGGTCTGGGCTCCCTGTGCCCCTCAGAGCAGAATTTCCCGTGCATTTCAGGGACAGGCCGGGAAAGCCAAAGGTGCCCCTTTCCTGAGTTCTTTGCAGGAAAGATGCAGCAGCAAAGGGCACGGGGACACAGGACCCAAATCCTCCTCCCTGGGAACATTTTGAGCTGACAATTACCAGGCCCACGAGCCCGAGTGAAACGCATGGCGGAGGCTCCAGGTTGGCGCGGGGCTGGTGCTTGTGGTGCACTCGCCTGGCACAGGCTGCCCCAGCTCTGCCGTGCCCCCACCACCCCAAGACCCTTCCATCCTCCTTTAGTTGCCATTCGAGCACATCCTCACCCCTTTTTTTCGTTTCTATTAATGCCTTTCCCCAGCAGTAAGCACGCCAGGCTCCAGCAGCTTTCCCTCAGATTTCATGTTTCCATTTTTCCTGCCTTCCTCCCCCCTGCAGTAGCACTGGGCCTATACAGCCTGCGTACGGGCAGATTTATGAGATCCCTCACAGAGCCAGGGCTACAGAGCTGGTTAAAATCATTGCAAAAATCACAGATCTCCAGGGCATTGCTGTGAATGCACCTGGGCCCAGAGAACCGTCCCCCCTGCCCTCTGGGAGGGCCTGCAACAGGATCCTGCAGGATTCCTAGAGCTATTAATAATTCCATCTATTTCCAGGAAGAAAGTCAAATAATTGCTTACAAATGGCACAAAGCACTGCTCGTGTACACGGGGAGCAGTGCTCCGCGGTGTGACTGGCTGGTGGCACAGCCTGCTCGGGTTTGTTGGCAGCACAAGCTCTTCCGAGCAAGTCGTTTTGAGAGGAATAACGCACAGCCACAGAGCGAGGGCCAAACGGTGCGGACGGGGCTGCAGGCAGCAGCCTGTCCTCTGCACCCGGCGTGCAGCCCCAGGGCAGGGTCAGCACGCGAAGGAGCGGTTTCAATTCTCCTGCTTGCTCCATGGCACCATTCTGGTGACGAGTGAGGGGAAGGACAGGCAGACGGTGACGTTCGCACTGGTGCCACGCATGGCACCGGCCAGTTCGGGACACCCAGACTGGAAAGGTCACACAGCCACCAACTGTGGGGCTGTGGGGCCACGCGAGCCCCGGTCCACGCAGCACTGCCACCACTTGGCCCAGCCCCAGAGCCTGCGGGGTGCAGCCCTGGCCCCACACAGACAGACCCATGGCCCCACGTGGCCCCGTGCCCGGCTGGTCCCAGGGGACCCGCAGCAGCCAGGGCTGAGCCACCCCGGAGGGGGAAGAGAGCCTCTCGGGGAGCCCCCGCTCCTTACCGTGCGCACTTCCCGGTGAAAACCAGGAGCAACCTGCACCCAGCAGCGGTCAGCACCTGCTCGAGCTCAGGATTTAAGGAGGCAGCCAGGAGGGGGTTCGGAACCACCCGGGGAGCTGGGACAGCGAAGCACTGGGGAGCGGTGGCAGGGGAGGAGCGCGGGGCATCACCTGCGGGACGCTCAGACCCCAGAGCTCTGTCTGCTGGCACTGCTGGCTGGGAGAAGCCGCGGCTGGGAAGCAGCAAGGGAGGATCTCAGACAAAGCAAAAGAGAAAGTGGGAGAGAGAAGTGGGAGAGACGCTTAAAGAGGCAGGTCTGGGAACAGGAGCAGCCCGCCAGCGGGCGGGGAAAGCAGAAGTGCCAGCTGCCAAACGCGCTTTGCTTGGGGCATCCTGCGCTAGCGTGGGGGCATCCCGGGCACTCTGGTTTGTGAAGACTGAAACAAGCCCTGAGAGGTGCCCGTGCACGCAGCCCACTCGAGCCCTGCTCCCCATGCCTGGCCTTGGAGAGAGCTGGGCATGGCCACGCTGCCGCTGCAGCTCCGGTGTCCCCAGCAGAGCTGGGGGGAGCTGTGCATTGTCCCCGGGCTGGCATCACCTGGAGCAGCCCCCCCGGAGCAGCCCCCCCGGAGCAGCCCCCCTGGAGCAGCCCTTGGTGCCTGGTACAGCCGGGCAGGGCAGTGCTGGGGGAGCTGCCCCCGAGTGAAGCAGAGGAGGCCACGGCTTCCTCCTGCAGTGGAGAACGTCCTAAATATAATTACTTCTGCAGCTACAACAAAGAGGAATCCTATGGGGGAAGTAAAACAGGAATAAACTCTAAAACAGATTATGTCGCAGTCCCTGGAGCACCTGCAAGACTTGAAAGCGGCAGCTGTGGGCTAACCAACCGCCCCCCTTCCCGGAGCGGAGAAGCCCCACTGCCAGGTTATCGTCCTCGCTGCGGCAAGGGACCGGCCGCTGTCCCGGCCGCCTGGTTGGGGTGCAGGGCTGGGCACTGGCTGCCCGCTCCGTGCATCCTCCCATGTCCGCACTGCACCCACAGCACACATCCTCCTGGAGAGGGAGAAGCGACGGGGGAGGCAAACCAGCCGGCTGGAGAGCAGGAAGAGGAAGCCTGGGGGAGAGATGAGACCTCGCTGAGCCCAGCCATGGCCACAGCCTCGCCGTGTGCTCAGCACGGGCGCTGCTCGGCTCAGGGATGGGAGCAGGCACCCCTGGGCCAGTGCCCATGGCGTGGAGTGTGGGAGCCCCCCTGCAGCACTGAGCAGGACAAGGCAGTGCTGCTTGGGAAGCAAACACCACGGCCCTATCCAGAACCCCCCCAGTACCCCAGTGGGCACGCGGGAGCTCTGTTGGGAGCTCAACCCCTTCCCCGTTCTCCATCTGCCTGCAGTGCCCCCAGCACCGGCAAGGCTTCTCCAGCCCCTGGAGCCCCCCGACCCACCAGACAGCATGGGGGGAGCGCAGGGAGCCGGCTGTGCCGCTGGGCAGGGGGTGGTGGTGGGGGGAAATCACAGCAGCCACCTCCTGCGCTCCCCTCAGCGCCAGCCTGCAGTGCTGCTCCGGAGGATGCGCAGCGCGGATGAGCCTCCTCTCTCCAGCGTGGGTGGAGTTTTTGTGGACGTGCCGTGGTCTCCACACCCTGCATCACCCCGCTGCTCCTGTCTCCCACGCGCACGCTCCCTCCGCCGAGCTCAGCTGGGTGCTTCGCTTACAGCGAGCGCCTCAGTGGGGTGCACAGCTACCGGAGAGAGCAGCACAACAGAACTCACCCCTGCAAAAACATCCCCTGCCTTTTTGCGCGGACAGGAGGGATTCTCACTTCCGTGCTCCCTGCTCCAATTTCCCCGGTCACGCCGTGCTCAGCAGCCCCCTGCCGAGCCGTGGGGCTGGGCTGGCCGGAGGGCGCAGCGGCAGGAAGCACGAAGCCGGGGCTTGGAATGACAGCAGCTTCCCGGAAGGAACATGGGCGCAGTGCTGCTGGCTTCGAGACCTGCTAATGCAATTCCTGCTCCAAGTAAGGAAGCTAAAAACAAGAGGCAGCTCCCCAGGGCCCCGGTCTGGGCAGGAAAGCCAGGGTCCCTTCCCTCAGCGCTGGCAAGAGGAGCCAGGGAGACCGGAAAGCAGGAAAAGCTGTTCTGATCCGTTTTTCTTTTTGTTTTCTTCCTCATTTGGGGGCCAGTGCAGCAATTTCTATTTCCCACATGGACTGGACGTCTCTTCCAGTCCCCTTAGGATCCTGCTTTCTCCAAGGGGCAATTTCTCCACAGCCATTTATCACTTGGGACAATGAATGCCACCCATCTCCTCTGGCCGTGTTCTGCAGCTGTGCTGTGCTCATGCCGCTCGGCTCAGGGCAGAAACCGGGGCCTCCCGGTGCCCCGGCAGTGCCGGCGTGCAGGCACCGTGCTGGTGTGGCACCGTGCTGGTGTGGCACCGTGCCGGGACAGCGCCGGCCGCCGGGACAGCTCTGCCTCCGAGTACAGCACCACGAGGCAGAGGCTGAGCGGCTGACGCACACGCACGTGCTCCTGAGACCAGCACTCGTGTGTTTAAATAGCAAAACCAAAACCAGGAAAAAACAAAACAACAGCCCTAAGACAGAGGCCTTCAGAATAAAGTAAATCACAGATTCCTATCTGCAGCACTCCGAGACAGGGGACGAGCGCCGCTCCTCCGGGGTTCCAGGGCAAAAGCACAAGCTGTGTGTGCGGTACACAAACCTTTGCGTTTGCTCTGTCAAACGTTCAAGCCCTTGTGCATAAGACCGAGCTTTGCTATTCAAAGGAGAGCAAGGCCACACCAGTCAGCAGAGCTGCTGAGGCAGCTGCACAAACAGCGCGCCGAGAGGGAAGTGGGGGATCAGACAAATGCTTTTGTTTCACTTCCTTGCTCTCACTTCCCTCTTCAGCCTTCTCGAAGGCCTTGCAGAGCGGGCTGTTCGCGCTGCCTCCCGACAGCCTGGCAAGGCTGGGCCAGGCATTCCCAGCCCCTTCCAGGGATGCTCGGATGCTCCCTGTGGGCACAGCCGGACCCTCTCCTCCCCAGGGAGCTGCTGCCAGCCCCGGCCCCCAGGGCCCCGTCCCGCAGCGCGCTGCTCGGCCCCCGCTGCACAGCTGCACTGAAGGCAGGGGAAGGAAAATCAGCAGAACTTGGTTGTCCCTCCCGGCTGCGCCAGCACAGCAGCAGCTGGGCAGGCAGGAGCTGCTCGTGGCCGGGGAGATGAGCAGGCAGCAGGGCCGGGGATGGTGCTTGCCTCACGGTGCCGGCACAAGTCCCAGTGCCGACCCAGTGCCACCAGGCTGGTGCAGGGTGATTTAACCCCACCGTTTGGTGCAAAAGGTGAGCCCTGCACAGGGCCCTGCGCTTCGGTGCCACCCCTAACGGGCGGGTAGGAGCTCGCCAGCGGGACCAGCTTGTCCCCTGCCCGTGGGGGCTGCCTGTGCCGGGGGTGCAGGTCCTCCCGATGGGAGCGGTGACCGCGTTACCACCCGCCCCCTCTGCACTTCTCCGTGCTGACTTCCCTAACCCCGTTCCTGATGACTGCTTCTTGAGTTCGGATCATCCGCCTGTCCCACTTCCCCCAGCTCAGAAAAACAGGAAATGGATTAAATGTGCCTGAATATCGATCCCAGTAGCAGCACGAGAGCAACTTCTCCGCAGCCCCGGCTCCGGTCTCTGAGTCCCTCCCGCGGAGGCACCGGCAGGCCCGGCCCTGGCCCAGCTGCAGCAGCTCCTGCCCGCATGCCGAGCTGGGAACCAAATGCTCGCCTGGGCTTGCATCAAAGCCCCAAGTTCGGGTTTACGTGCTCTCCAGCTCATTTGCTCATTGAGGCACTCGCCCGCCTGTACTTTTCCCACACCCGAAGTTACACAAATGCACTTGTGAATGTCTCCTCTGAAAACCACAAGTGCTGGTGTTCCCCTCTTCCCTCCCGTCCCTGCCTCCGCCGACGGTCACGCTTCTTCTTTCCCATGGCAGATTGGGGAAGGACGCACCTGGGGCCGGCAGCAGTTCCTGCTCCTGTTCCTCTGGGTTTTCTGACATTTTCTTTCCTGCTCTCCTCCCTCTCCTGGAGGCTCTGTCTGGGTGTGATCTGCTCTCCCCCAGTGTCAGCACGGGCTGGAGGAATCCAGCTGCCCCCCGCATTTCGCTGCTCCTCTCGCCCCAGCCCCTGCCCATCAGCCTCCTCGGAGCCTTGCCATTTCTTACCGACCGCCTGCTCCTTAGGTGATTAAAACTGTTTTTAGAGAGCTGCCACTTCCTTATGTCATCTAACTTCTATTTACCCCCGTTCCTTTGTGTTTAATCACTCAAGCACCTGGCTCTTACCTGCAGCCCCTTACAGGTTCTCCTCCTGCAGCGCTTGGCACCACGGCCCCTTCCTTGCCTCTGGTACACTTCTTGCTGGGTTCCAGCTCTTTCAGGAGCTGCACCAGGCTGAGTCATTTGCTGCTGTACACTTTTGCTTTCCTTTCTCTGCTTTAACCTCCTTGGTTTCCCCTGACCTCTCCTGAGCTGTTCCAGCACCATGGGCACTCCCATGCAGCTCTGGCACCAGGGCTCGGTGGCAGCTCGGGGGATCCGAAACGCCCCCAGCGCTACGGGGAGCAGCCCTGGGCAGCCCGTGTAAATCCCACCAGCAAACATACACGGCCTGCCCGGGGCCTCCCCGACACTACAAGGGGAGCAGGGGGAGCAGAGGCTCTGTGAGCTCACAGCCCCTGGGCAGCTGAGGAGCCCCAAGCCCTCCTCGTTACCCCTCCTGCAGGTGCTGGGGTGGTGGGCACTGCACTGCTGGGGCTGGCGGCGGCCAAAACCCCATCCCCTGTGCGTGTCGGGGTGTCAGGGCTCTGCGGCAGGCGGCAAATGGCTAATTGGTAGGTCTTGAGTATTTGTGAGAAGAGCTCCGAGTTTATTTTCTTTGTCTTTTAAAAGAAGCTTTCAGTCAAGTTTGATAAAGGAGAAATCAGTCTTTCATCTTTTCTTTTTTTTCTGTGTGTGGTTTTCCCATAAAGCTGCTTTAAACACCCATAAAAATTTTAAGCTGAAAAATATATTTTTTCTCTGAAAATCACAACGAACAACTGAAATGATTCATAAAACTGACCCAGAACACTTGTTCTGTACCAGGCCTGAGGATTTATGAGGTCACCTTGGTTTCAGCCGCATGCTGAGCGAGGGCTGAGTGACAAAAGAATGGCTGGGGTCTCCTATTCTCTGCCCAGCCCACAAAAGCGTTCCCATGCAGGACAATCAATCTAACACCGCGGCAAGGCGAAGTTGCTTCCATGCCTAAATCCTGGTGTAAATCAAAGCCAGAGCGTCCACCTCGTTTCTAAAGCCTCCGTGACCAGCCTGGACGGAACCAAAGAAAGTGCATGCGGGGCTTAGTGTTTGTACGGAGCGAAGTGGCAGGGTGGGGGCGATTACAGAACGGGGGGCACGGTGCTTGGAGGATGAACACGAGCTGCTGGACACGGGGCGGTCGGCTCCAGGCCCCCCGGGGTGAGCTCCCCACCGCCTGCACCCAGCCCCGCAGCCCGGCCTGTGGGAGCGCAGAGCCGAACCCCGCAGCGCTCTGCCCGGAGCCTCCCTCCTGTCGGCATCTGGGTCAGCACTAAAAATACCTCCCCTCTGCCCGCCACTGACATCCCAAGCAAATAAAGCAGGCTGTAAGGAACGAGCCCAAGTTCTGAGCAGCGGGAAGGAGGGCGCGTTGGGCTGCATTGCTGCCTACCAAAAAAGTCGTCACTTTTAAACAAAAAACAATTCCTAAAGTCATTCGGTCAGTGTCTCCAGGTTAGGTATCGCCCAACTCAGTTTTTTAAGGAAAACTTCCATTAAGTAGTTCTCTAGAAAAAAAGATAACACCCACTTACTGCGAGCTGATTAGAAAGCAGAACCGCTGCCTGCACGCAGACACTTTCTGACGAGGACAGCCCGACGTGACGGCACGCGGAGCGCTCTGCCTGCAAGAATGATCCTCTTTGGGGGCTTCCACTTCAAAAACAAGGACACAACCTACCGCTCACACTGTGACAAAGGCACCTTTTTTGGTAAGAGAAGGTGAAAAAAACAAGTTGGGGAAAAAGATGATTGTATGCCTGCGTGACAGACGGTGCGTCAGGAAGGAAGTGGATCTCCTTGCCAGATCACGTTAAAAGCCACCGCTGATCAATCTTTTGGTCATTCTGCCGGTGACTCTTGCCGCGATGGTTACACGCAGAGGTGAGGGTGAACATTAACGGGCTCGTAGCCAGCGGATCTCTGGCACACTCTGGCTGGAGGGGCTGCACAGAGCTGGGGAGGCGCACAGCCCGGAGCTGCCGGCTCTCACCCCATGTGGCTGAGGAGCCAGGACCTGGTGCAGGGCCAGCACCCAGAGCTGGGGGCACAGCACCAGGGCAGCACTGGGAGCTGCAGCGGCAGCACTGGGAGCACTGGGAGCCGTGTCAGCTTGCTGTGGGGAGCGGGGCCACGACCCAGACCGCTCCCGCACTGCCCTGGGCAGCGGGGCAGGACCCCCGCCAGGCCCCCCTGCCCCCATCGCCGAGCCCCCCACCCCTGCGCCCCGCCCCCAGCACCCTCCATCCCCACTCCTCCATCGCTCCCTCATTCTTCCCGTTTCCCTGGCAACCCCTATCTGGGCGCTGTGGATCTGTCCTCTGCCTCCCTCTTATCTCTCTCCTTTCTCTTTCATCTATCTCCTAATCTCCCTCTGTATTCCAAACCTCTGTCCTTTGCTTGCTTGCTTTCTCTCGCGCTTTTCATCTCCTCCAATGTCTTCTTTATCTCTGGGTTACAATTATTTGAATCTCACTCAAAAAAAAAAAAAAAATCCACTCCATTAACCGCTGTGGCACCAGCCAGCTCCAGCTCCTCTGGCAGCCCGGCTGCGCTGCTCAGGACCCCTGCCCCTAGCAGAGGCTCCTGGCCGGGTCCCCAAATGCACACCCCGCCCGCTGGAAACAACCACGAAGCTGCCATGCTCGCAGGCAAGGCCCTTCCTCAAAACCCTTCAAACAAAGGGAAAGCAGAATTTCAATCTTGTGCTACAAGATGTTCAGGATTGGGCAATTAGAGCCAACTTGCAAACTGCCTGCAGGGTTCACTGGCCCCTGTTTTGCTGCAGTGCTGCAGTTTGAAGAGCCCCCACTTTGCTTTATGCTCACCACACGCGCTTTTCACTCCGAACCTCGGCTTTGCTGGAGGAGCACGGCCGCTCGCACACCCTGCGGTTTTGTCCTGCTCTCTGCAGGACCGCGCTGCCCGGCCGCTGTGCTCCTCTCCAGCTCCATCCTCCAGCCCTCCTCCAACACCAAACGAGAGCTGGCCGCTCCGGTCCAACCTGTGCTCCTACACTAGACTGTTCCTCAACTTCTGCTTTATTTTAGAGCAACTGGGGAGACAATAATTAATGGGGAAAATGGTAGCGCAGACAGAGAGCAGGGATTTTCCTTGCTCTTTGCAGTTCACCTGCTTGATGAACTTCTGGCGTTTTGCTGCCCAGCAGAACCAGGTCTGCCTCTTGCTTAGGAGACCGAAAGGACCCCACTGTGATGCTCACCAGCCCCGTCTCCATCGGGTTTGAGCGTGGTGCCTTTCCATGGCAAACAGGGACCAGGCTTGGCCCCTCGGCAGAGAGCTGGCTCTGCCGCACAGCCCGGCTCTTCCCAAGGGCTGCTTTTTGGCCGCCCAACGCTCCCCTTCCACACGAAGCTGAGGCGTTCTCCCCATCCCCACCCATCCGTCTCTTCCCCCACTTGAACAGGCAGAACTCTCCTGGGGTCCCGAGGGCTTATTGCCGTGCCATGTTTTAAATGGTCGCTGCTCACCCACGCAGCAGCACCGGCGACATCGGCAGCAGTCAAATCGTACCGAGCTGCTGCCGGGAGCTGCCGTGGGCGAGGGCAGTGCCACCGGGGCGAGGGAGCGGCACCGCTCCCCATCCAGCCTGGCCTTGCTGCCTGCGTGCGGAGTGGGGAGACGGCACAGGGAGATGGCACGGGGAGATGGCACGGGGAGATGGTATGGGGAGACGGCATGGGGAGATGGCACAGGGAAATGGCACGGGGAGATGGCACAGGGAAATGGCACGGGGAGATGGCACAGGGAAATGGCACGGGGAGATGGCAAGGGCATGCAGCCCGCAGCGCCCAGTGCCACCCCGGCCCCATGAGCACAGGCTGGGCGCTGGGTGTGTGCCGGTGCCGTGGCACTGGGGGGTACCTGGACCCCACCACCAGCAGCACGCTGCACCGGGCTCCCTGCAGCAGGCTCCTGATGGAAATCACCCTGTTCTGTGGAAAACAGTTTTTGCTTTTAAGTGAAATAAACAGGGAAAGAGAGACTTTCAAGTTCCTCCTTGCTGTAACGACTTCTCTTCTACATACTCTTTCCTCTCTGAAAATAGAAGAGCTATTCAAAAAAGATGCGAAAAGAAAAAAGGAACTGAATAGAGGAAAGAGGAAAGAAAAAATGGAGCCCCAAGGGGGAGGAGAAAAACAGAATGAAAAGACAGCAAAAGTAAAGAAAAGGGATGAAAAATAAAGGAGGGGGAAGAGAGAGACAGACAGAGAAGCTTTGAAAAGAAAGAATGCTTCTAGCCTGAATACAGTGTGCATGAAAAAAAGAGCGCTTGAAAAGAAACAGCCACATGAAATGACCTCTCATTCACAGACTGTGCCAATCACGACGACAATGTAAATCCTTTCTTCTTTTTTACATTCTCTCTCTTTCCAGTGGGGGCAGAGGGAAAAGGAAGAAAGGAGAGTTAATTCTCAGCACAGCAGAAAATAAATCTGGTCTTTTCTAACTCCCTGAAAGAAACGCTGAGCTACTTTTAAAAATACTTCTCCTAGTAATCACACATGCAGATATGTAAAAAACAGCAAATGAAATTCTGAGTTTCTGCAAGGAAGACTCTCACTCGTGCAGTCCCTGGTGAAAATAACAGCAGAGAAAACAAATCTGCAAAACCAAACGCTTCCATGAAGGCAATCAGCATCACAGATCTGGGTCAAGAAGCGAAGGAACAGGAGGGGATGTTCTGGGCAGGCAGAACCCAGGAGCCTGATCCTGAGCCTGCTCTGTGGGGGCACCCTGTGGGGCTGGGGGTGCACAGGACTGGTGCTCCCCGTGTCTGCAGGAGCTGGGGAGAGGCCGTGGTGCCCGGCCAGCTGGGAGCGGAGCGTGCAGCAAGAGCTGGCGGCAGCGGGCCAGGCACACACTGGTGCTGTGCTTCTCCCAGTGCAGGGGGTCCCATTTTAGGTCCCATTTTG